TCTCTCTTGCGGTTGTCGTGGTACCATCGATGTCTAGAGAAGACATCAATGTAAAATTCATGCTCAGCGCGACAATTTATCGCACTGGGGTCAAGATCCTGAATCGTTGACAAGTCATAGAGTGGGATTCGACAACTCCTAGTGACATACCCATACCACCCTCTCAGCTCGCTCACGAAAGACAACTATGGCTTGTTTTTAGGAGCAGATCGTCACGCGTCACGATTTCGCTCTTTTTGCGTGATGTCAGCGTAAGCACTGGCACCACGATCACCGCAATACCTCTCATTACTGCGGCTATGGCTACGACGACTCCGCGAAGAGTCATCGACATCGTCATGAGGAAGTACTTCCTCATGTTGCACACTCGCGTCGTAGGAATACGAGCGCGATTGGTTCGATCCCGGTGACGAGTTCCCGGAATCGTCGGATGAATCGAACACCTCATGCCTCAATTCAGGAGCGAGAATGCCGCGAGGCACAGCATTTTTCGTTTCCGCAACCATACGGTCGGGCTTCGCGGACGGCTTGGAGTGGGACGGGGAATTCGACTCGCCCGAATAGATTACCTCCATATCGGGGTCGGCGTCCGTGGAACTACCACCCGCGGCCGAAGCTGCGGGTGAAGAAGCTGCACGTGGATGACTACGCGCACCTGCAACTATGGGTGTTGCAGGCTGCTTATTGGCAGAAGCAGGCGTATTATCTCCTGCTGCGGAGTCTTGAGTGTCTTGCCCTCCGGCTGCACGAATCCGTGCAGTCATTTCAGACGCAGCCTTGCTCGCGCAGCACATGGACGGACTCGTCATGCGCTGAAAAGTCGAAATGAGAAGGAAAAGACCAACAAGTTCTCCCCGTCCCCAGAGCGACACGACGGTGGTCTCTCGGTCACCAACGAATCAATCACTCACTGTAGTGACTGATGGTTAAGGGAGGGGTGATGTAACGGGGTGAGCCCGTTACATAAATATTGGGACGGAAGTACCAATTTTTGAATATTATCGATTTTGGTAATATTCAATCAACATCGCTCGAGAAAAGTGATGTTGTCGGAATATTACCTTTAAGGTTAATGTCCTTGGAGGGGTCCACTTCTTGGTTGATGTACCGTGTACATTGACTAATTTAACCACCAATCGCTGCTGGACGCGCGCAATGGGTGGTGGACAGAAGACCCACATAGGAGACAGTAGTTTAATATAGTTAGATTAAGACGAAACATGATTTAGTAAGAAACATTACTGTATTAAATAACAGCCCTATTTTTCCTTCAAGACAGAGCTTTCGGGTTCTGTACTGTCTTGGTCGCGCTTCCTCGCGCCACTTGTACGTGACGTCGGGCGTACGCACCCTTGTACTGTTATCAATACAAGGCCTTGATCAGTTATTTGATCAAGAGCGTGCCTCGTTACAATCCCGCAGCAAGAATTTGTTATTTCTTTGCTGCGTAGAATAAACCTGCAAGGTCATTACTTTCACAGTGTAAATCTGTTATACCAGAACTTACTCGCAAGTATTCAGGCTAATCCGCGTAGCTTTCACTGAAAGACGAGGTTGATGACTTCTTATCTTCGTGATTACCCGATACATCAGCACAGCACATGTCGGTTTTGTCAAAATATGTAAATGTTTGGTGTGCCTCGAGGTGATCAAGTAATCGCGCTAGCTTATGGATAGCCATATTTTGTGTGGCGTCTTGACCATGTTCACGTAAATCTCGGAAAATGACTATTTTGTACCAGCAACAACTTTGGAGATGCTGCTGATACCATGACACGGTTAATCGTTTGCGCTACACTCGTGTCCTGGGCTTTTGTACCAGGGCACGACTCTTACTAGATAAGCGCTTGTACCAAATAGTACAAGCGTGTGTGCTCCCAAACCTACACGCACACCGTACGTGCAAAAGAGGAAGTGAAGAAAATGAACAGGGATGCTCAGAAGGAGAAAAATTGCAACTGTATATATATTTGATAAACTTAAGCCTTTTTGATAAACCTCTTTTATCTTACTTACACTGCACTACAGTACAAAAATTTAATGCAGAATCTCACTAAACACTCATTGCGCCCGTCTAGAAGCGATTCGAGGTGTAATCGGTTGACATTACGGCCTATATCAACCAATGGCGAAGCGGTAACGAGTATTATCTCTGGAGGATACATTCCTTCAATATTGACTCGGAAGAGTTGTACAGTCGTCCCTCTATATAGCGGACCAAAATTTGTGACATTTTTGCCTCGTTCCTTATATAAAACGCTCTTATATTGAGGGTCAATATGAACCCGTTCTAATAAATGCATCCATTGTACACTGAGGTTTTCGCATCGAGCACTCCTGTATAACGTGCTCGGTGATACTTGCCAGATTCTTCGTCAATTCGTCACTGTCATGCTTTGACGAAAGAAATGATGACAGACGGAGACAATAGTCTAAAGCCTCGGATGGCCCAGTCGTCACCTCATCGGCACTGTCACCATCATTGTCGTTCTCAATTGCCTCATGCTCTATCATGTATGAGTCGCACTCGATCAACTTGTCGTCATCCGCACCCACGTAATCGACGACACCGACGCTGCAAGTCAAACCTTCCATGAGCTTAGTCAGCTCGTCCTCAACAGATCCATCGATGCGTTTGTTGTAGTTGCTTAGTTGGGTGATATCGGCCATCTTTACCTCCCCACGATAGCACACTTGATCCAGCAGTTGCGAATCACTTGCTCGGGTGCCTCCTCCCAGCTTGATATAGCGAAGCGCACAGACTCAAGTATATTCAACTTTCGGTCGACTCTGGTAGGGATCGCATCCAGGAGCCATCGAGCAAATTTATTTCGATACCGCGCTTATAGTGCCCGTATAATTCTTATCAGAAAAAACACGTGAGAAATCGCTGGTCAAGAGAACATCTATTCAAACTTACCTGCGTCGAGCGGTTGCAAGTGTGCTGTCATATATGACGGCAGGAATACCAGCTTGACTTTTTAGCATTCAACGGCGCCATCGTGACACGACGCGTTGTCCAGCAGGAGAAGCACTCGCCTCCCGTGCATCTGGGCATCGAAATGCCGGATCCACTCAGCAAACGTTGACCTGTTTTGCCATGCAGTCCGGTTGTTGAAATAAAAAACTACATTTGCTTGTTGTTGGCTTTGCGAAATGCTCGTGGTTGCTTCGACTTCCGATGGCAACGAGATCCATCTTCTCGGTGCCGGTCATGTTGCAGCACATTGCGACTGTGATACGATCATTCTCTGACTTCTTTCCATTGCGCTCGACCGTAGCCAGTGTCTTGTTTGGAGATAGACGATAGAAGAAAGCTATTTCGTCAACATTGAATACATCTCGTGGTGAATATTTTGCAATCAGCTCTTTAAGCTCCATTCGATTCACTGCGAGTTGAGCGCGATCAACTGAGCCTGCCTCGACGTGAAGCACAAGCTACTGGATGCCGTGTCGAGTCTTAAATTTGTGCACCCACCCATTCGAAAGCCGCAGGTCGTTCTCGCTTATCGCTTGAGCGGCTCGGATTGAGCGACCTTCTTCGAGTAGTAGATCGTCTGTGAGAATCGTTTTGTCGTCATGGAGACGATAGAATGCGAAGAACGTAGCCTCAAACTCTGGAAACAGCACCTTTCGATTGCGCTTCCTGCCCGTAACAAGGAACGCGTTGACTGGTGCCTGACGAATCCGTTTTGCTGCCGTTGTGGAGATCCGAAGGTCGAGCCTTTCCCTGACCCAGTCTTGTATTTGGAATAGTTTTATGCCTGGTGTGCGTGTGATGTGCACATGCACATGACGCTTTTGCTCCATCGTCAGAATCGTTCGCTTTGACGACATGTTTAAGGTGGAACGGAAGCAAATGTGCAAAGTGGCAGGCAATGCGAGACTGTGGCAAGTGCAATATCGAGGGAACTATTGGTTGGTGCACACTGTTTTACTACCCTATTTCTTAAGCCTCTTATATAGAGTCAGCATACAAAAACCAAGTGACGCAGCTTGGTGCGGGACACGAAGTTCCTTAAACAGAAATTTTACCCTCTATAGAGGTTCTTATATGGAGGGACGACTGTAATGTAAAATATTATCAGCCAAGAACATATTTCCATTGGCACAATTTCGTGCCAATGACATTCAACAGGCTCACCCCGTTACAGCTTTGATGATCGTTCAATTGACATCAACCTCAATCTCTCAAGCAAAATCATTGCAGCCCAGCTAGATGCCGAAACCCAGTAAAGTTTTCCTCGCTGCCGTGATGTGTATTGCCGTTGTTTTTTCGGCAACATTGATGATACGTTGGCGGTGTAGATCCTACCGACGCGCTTGAAGATCGCGTGACTTTTGCATCAATGTGAAAGTCCGAGCGTGTGTGTTTTCACATATCCTGCAGGCCATTGTCAGCTGTAATCGGAACAGCTCAAACACAGCTCCAAAGTAGATCCGTGCGCTTAGTACCAAAAGCTTCACCCTGACGCCTTCGTATCAAGCATTCACAAGAGGCTGCCAGCAAAACGAAGTCAGCACGAAGAAAACACAACAATACGCCACTCTCGCAAAAGACGAGCAGTGGCCCGCAAGTGCGTCCTGCATCGAATACCAGCATTTCAAAGTAAGATGCGCTTATCAGCCTTACTGTCACACGTCTCCCCGGCGTCACTAAGTCTTGCGCATCACAAGTGCAACAACAGGACCTTCAGTGCCTTGGTATCTGAGACTACACCAGCGCATTACGCTCGTCAAGAACCCGTGAGCCCCTTCTCGTCAAATCAAACGCCTTTTTACTATAGGTCCCGGCGCACCACTTACGTTCAGAGGCACAGTCACCGCCACTGTGTAGCCCGATGCCGAGCACATGTCAGTGTGTCATCAAGTGTCTATCCAGACGCTGTCTCTGCCATGGTCAGCACTTCAAAGCAACGAGTGTTCCTCTCGGGAACCACACCATGAGCGGACGTTTGCTTCCTCGACGTCAACTTCGTTCCTTTCCACATACGCATTCCTTAGTAGAAGTTACGATCGGTATTGCGAGTATCTTGAGACATCGGGATGTTCTGCGACTTGTAGTCATGCTCGTACATGAAGCTATCTTGTGACATACCGAACTTGTCACTCGACGCTTGGCTGAAGGACTGTGTCTGAGCCATTTGCGTGAAGGGGTCAGTCAATCCAATGGACGAATGAATCATGCCGTCCTGCGTAAACGAGCTCATGGAGTCAGACACGTAACTGTCTTGTTCACGACGTAGACCTCCATGCTGCTGCGGCGCAGGATGCGGTAGTTCCCCAATCCCAGGCGAGTCAAAAGAAAGCATTCCTGACTGGTCGTAGCGCGGGTCGAAGCGCGAGTCGAGTGGCGGCAACGACTCACGTTGGCGGTGCAGGCTGCTACTGTTACGATGAGCACCGCGTCCCTGTTGTCGCGGCGGGGGGAACTGCATGTGAGATGGCGTCAAATTATTCAGTGGACCCTCCACAATGAGCTGGTTGTCGCGATAGTGGTTCAGCAGCGTATTCCAGAGCAACTGCTTAGCCAACACTCGTGGGTTCCCCAGCACGATAACGCCGTACTTTGCACGCGTCAGAGCCACGTTCAGACGACGTTTGTCGCTCAGAAAGCCAATGCCTTGGTTCTCGTTCGAGCGCACACATGACAGAATGATCAAGTCCTTTTCCCGGCCTTGGAAAGAGTCTACGCTCGCCACTTCCACATCCTTGTACAGCTGAGAACGCATGGGCCCATTACGCTGCATGTAGCTAACCACGTAAGCACGCTGGCCCTCATACGGTGTAACAACGCCGATCTGTGCGGGCAGCACTCCAGCCTTCAGGAACGTCGTAACAATCTTCTCGACATTGCTCGCCTCAGTGCGGTTCAAGTAACTCGTACCAGACGAACTGATTTCTTCTGCGCCTAGGCAAATATAGAAGAACGTCGGCTTGTTTGGATTCGGCCACGGAAAATCAACTCTGGAGAGCTGGCGTTCACTCGCAGACACACCATTCTGCAGCTCGCCTTCGTAAAACTGGTTCGAGGGGAACTCTGATAGGCAAGGGTGCATGCGATACTGCACACGCAGGCGGAATGGACGGTGGTTAAGCAGTAGCAGCCGATCGAAAAGTGACTGGTTCAGTCCAGCATTTGCTGCCTTCTTGTTCATGACGACAGGGCCTAGCTGGCGGTGGTCGCCCACCATCACCACGTGCTTAGCACCCTGAACAATCGGAATCAGACACTCGGGTTCTGTAGCTTGCGTGGCTTCGTCGATCAATACTTGACGGAAGCGAAAGTTAGATAGACGAGGATCACCTGCACCGACACACGTCGTACAAATTACATCTGCAGCTTGCAAGATCTCGCGCTCGGCTTGGCGCTTCAACGACTTGAACCGCTTTTCATCCTGTGACGACAATTCGCCCTGATCATCCTTTAGTTGCATGAGTTTGCGCAGATCAGCCTTATCCGGCGAGTCCAGCGACTTTATCATTGCGTGCAACGACAGATGCTCGACTGAAGAGGCCACGGCCTCACGACTTTTGGCGGCGAGACGAACCACGCGAAGTCCCGTCGCACTAATCTTCATCGTCAAGTGGTCCACAGCGATATTGCTAGGTGCTGTCACCAGCACCTGGCCCATGTTTTGCTTTGACATGTGGAACACGATGGAAGCTGACGTCACTGTCTTGCCCGTGCCAGGGGGACCTTGGATCAAACTCAGCGGCTGCTCCAGCACACCCTTCACTGCTTCCATCTGCGGCGGATTCAACTCAGGGAGTCCAGGAGCCGAATAATGCGTACCTACAGAGCGCGGAATACGCAAAGGTTGCACGTCGACTGCATGGCCCAAGATCTTGTGGTACAGGTACCCCGTGAGCGACGTGTCGTCCACAGCAAACGTCTTCATGGCAGCCTGCATGCGATCAAACGACGTCGACTTCCAGATAAAGTCCACCAAATATCCGTCTGCGACCTCAAGCGGTACATTATGACTACGCATCTCAAGCGCCACTTCCGACTCTTCCAATCGAAGCACATGACCAGTGCCTTCCCAATCTTTGCCGTACAGCAAGCTCGCCGTCGGTCCCAACCGCAGCCGGATCTCATCCCCCGGCACCAACCTCAAATCCGAGTCAGGTCGCGAACACGTGAAAATCGCGTTCCGCTTTTTATTCAGACCAGTATCCCAGCGCACGATCACGCCTTCTTGCGTCTGGGCCTCTTTCATCTTCTTGTCATAGTCCGACTCCATTTTCACCAGAGGTCCAAAAATGTTCTGGTACTGGTACCCGTCGTCGTACGTTGGTGACACCTTGACCGGTTCGTCGTCAATACCCGGCCGATTGAGCTCCTCTACCGTTGCCAACGGATTGTCGCGCCACAGTTCTTCCAGCTTTGCAATTTGACTCGACGTGATCTGCCGCGCCCGGAGTTGTTCGTGCTCGGACGGCATTTTCACCAGCCACGGCAGGAAACTGCGGTCGTCAATAATCGGCAGCCACTGCGACATGTCCCAGCTCATGTCTTTCAGTGCGTTCATCTGCAAACAGGGATCTCGACAGAGCAAGACAACGACCGAGTCTTGCTTGGCCGGAATAAAGCCCAAGAGGAAGGCATTGCGGCAGCCACAATTGTAGCACTCGAGCACGGTCTCGCCCAGAGGCGACTCGGGGTGCAGCGCCACTTCCTTGTGCTTGCTTCGGACCAAGTGCTGGATAATGTGCGAGCCGCTCGTGTTGCCGCGCGAGTTGCAAAACCACTTGTCCGACGCCACGCACTTGACGACCGACGCCGGGTCGTGCAGTCCGCAGTAGGCACACGCGTGGGGCGGCAGGTCGTTGGCCCGTCTGCGCGCGTCCTCCAGCGCGTCGTCGTCAATGGACTCGTCGAACGTGAGCTGCTGGTGGAAGTCGCTGGTCAAGTGCGCATCGTCTAATTGGTGCAGCGGGGACTCGTTCGCGGCCGCGGATTGGTCGAAATACGACGGCGGGCGGTGGCCACTCGGCGCCTGGTATTGGTCATAAAACGACGCATCGCCGCTCGGGTCGTCGCTGGCGTCGACGAACGCATAGGGCGACTGCGACTGCTGCTGCGTGAAGGGGAACGTTTGCGACGCTTGGGACTGCGACGCACCGCTTGCGGGCTGCGTCTGGAGGTAGTCGTCGTACGCGCCGAAGCCAAAGGGTGAGCTGCTCATGGAGTCGTCGAATAGCGCGCGTTATCGATCGATCGCTTACTGCGGGTGCGCAGTGACTGGCGGAAGAAACAAGACGATCGGATTGGTCGAAACAGATAGAGAGCAAACGCGCTCGCCAAGACTGCACTCACAGCTGAAGAGCGTGGCAACCACAGCGTCGATAAGCGCCGTGGACAGTGTCTACTGATATAAGTTACCACCTCGACCTCAAGCGAACCCAGTGGCGGCCCACGAGAGCCAGTCGAAGCGACTCGTGAGGTTATTTCCCCCGCGGGCCGAACAAGGCGCGATCGAGGTCTCAAAGAAAGTTCTCGGAGCGTTCCACTCAACTCGCAGTTGGTGAGACTTTTGACCGGAACAATAGCTGTCCGTTCTTTTGCGTCGGTGTCATGTTCGCGGCTACTCATCATGAAGTAGCCGACCAAACAGCCGCGACGTCCGCCGCGGTCCGCCACTATCGAGTCCGCTGTTCCTTGCACGACGTGTCCGGCTTCTCGTCCGACTAGCGAATCGCTCTCTGTCTTTTGTCACGTACCGCATCGCCCGATCGACTCTGGATTTTCACGTGAGTTACAACTTGACGCGTCGCATGTAGTGACATTGCGTGCCAGTAGACGCAGACAGATGCTGATGTATGCACTGCCGCGGCGCAAACTCGTGTCGCGTCTATTGCGAACGATCCGTCTGCGCGTAGGCATTGAATTCGCAAGCTACAGTCACAATGGCTTAACGTGCAAGTGCCAACATCGCTGACACTGTACAATTGCCGCGCGTTCGAAAAGCTCCGAGCTTAGGGATCTCGGGCCGTCTGTCTCCCGCTGTCAGTCACGAAGTGTAGCGTCAGCAACTGCCTGCCCTGCGACATGCGGCGTCACGTACGTCAGGGAGATCCTCGATCATCCCGTCGTTGTAGTCGATTGTTTCCAACCTTTTCGTCCCCCCATGATTCCAACAGCACGTCCTGTCCCACTGACTATGCCGTACGAGAGGTCTGTATCGCCCCAGACGTTCGTCGGTCGCTCGACTCCATTTGCCAAGGAGCTCCTCATTCAGCAGCTCTACACGCGCCTCTGTTCTCTCTCCCATACAAAACGCGACACAATGGGGCACCAACTGGTCGCCTCGCCCTCGAGTCCACGATCCCAAGCGCCGCTGCTGTCGTCGTCGTGGGACGGCAAGTGCCATTGCTGCCGCAAACTCATGTCGCGCTGCAGCTGCTATCACGAAACGGAGAGCGACGTGGAAGCGATGGACCGCCGCGGGCGGGAGGCCGCGTACGTCCCGTGTCGAAGTTTTTTATTGTGTCGGCTTGTTTTTTATTGTTTTTTTCGTTGTGTTTTTTTTCGTTGTGTTTTTATCGTTGTGGTACTCGAAATGTGGTCCTCACGTGTTACTTGTCGCCTGTGTATACATATTGATGCAGTCACGTGCTGATTGACGCTACGGAGCCACGGCCTCTCTGGAATGCACTGCGGAAGATGCACCGCAGGTCCACTGTGACGCATCGGCACAAGTCGTTGAGTTCTGTCCTACTGTCGGCCTCATCGGGTGGTACGTCGAAGGAAAAAGACCATAGAACGAGTCGTGCAGCACTGCCACCTCTGAGTGTTCCTCCTCCTGCGCCTGCAACGTCCAGTTGCTGGTCCCAACACGTCCATCGGCGCTCAGAAGCGCGTTCTCGTCCAAGCACTCGACGCCATAAGACGGAATTGAGCCGTGACCGGTCTCGTGATTGTTCGACAAGGAGCCACAAGGAGAAGCTGCAGCATGGCAGCATCCCGACTTGTGCTACTTCTACCAGCACGAGCAGCAGGTATCAAGTCACCAGGGAGACGAGCAAAGAGGTCGGCGTTTCTTGCTCCATGCGGTCGACGAATGGCACTGATATGGACTTGACGAGCAGCGTCTGTTACCCGAAGGAGAAGTTTTACGATGGACCAGAAGATGAGATCGAGCCCAGCAGTGGGAGTGTGGATGGAACTGTATGGGAGCTGTAAGGTCGTGGTGAGCTATCGTGGTCATGTACATTTGTGAATATAGGTACTACGTACCACCATGTACAGTATGCACATAGCGGGCTGTTTTCATCCGACTTTCTTTGCAGACAGGTTGAACAAATCGCTATGAGAATGGTCTGGGCTACTGAATAAAAGGTTGGTGATGGTGTGGAAGGTGTCGTGAAGGCAGTCAATGGAAATGGCCACAAAGTACCGGTAATGTCACACCAGAGCTACATCTACTCGTGGCATGACGTACGATATACTCGCGCAGCATTGCCGCTTGAAAAGCGTAAACAAATTTAGGATGCAATGAAGATTAATCTTTAGAGCTGTGTGCGTGGGTGAGCATCTGTAATGAACTTGAATGGACGGATACAGTTGAAATGATGAGGCGTGTGCTACAGCTCTGTATGGTCGATAGGCTGTGCTGCAAGGAAGCTCAATATAAGTACGGGCCGAGTGAGTGGTTGAGTGAGTTATAGAGTAAGCCATACATGTTCTGTTGCGAGCACACAACGATACAACCTCATCGACTTCGTCACGCAGAAACCATAACGGCAAATCGCAATGCAAATGCAGTCATCCAGTCAAGTAAGTCATCCAATCAAGTACGTTACAAGGCCGAAGAACGCGTTTGTTGCATGCGGGAGCTAAGATGAATGGATGGGCGGTAGTGGTAAAGGTACAACCTATGGAGATGCATAGCATGTGATTCTCTCGTGCCCAATGGCAAAGACTAAACGAGCTCTCGGTTTTGCCACGATGATTTGATGATTGACCTCGAAAAGGTCAGACTTGACGTTGGCCAAAGCCGTACTCGTTGCTGTCAACTGCTGCACAGCTCAGATGCCTTTCCTCGAAACAAATGACTACTCTATAGATCGTGCTACGCTAATCTGCGCACGTCTCGTGTGGTCACTACGGTCGCGTTTCCGAACTTGCTAGTGCACGAAATGTGTCGCGTGAAAAAGGAAAGTGAATCGTGTGAGCTTAGGTATCCAAGCTACAAATGATAGCCTTCCGGCTGCAGTTACGTATTGTGGTTGTTGGAGAAACTGCTCGTTTGGAGTGCCGAACAGAGTACAGATCTTTTGCAAACGAAAGGATTGCATATACAGCGATCGAGAATGGCCTGACTACGACATCCGCTGGACACGATGATCGTGATACGATGCGACGTCTGTGTCAGCTTTACGGCACATGCCGTTCAACATGTCGTAAGAATTGCAGCGTTCATCACCTCTAAAAACGAGCGCTTGAGAATACCAAAGACGTACGTGGTATGTCACGGCCTCGTCCAACAGTGTGCGTTCCCGCATACTATCACGTTACAAAATGTTGTCTTTGTCACTCTTTGTGCGTACAAATGCGAGGATGGGGCAACCTGCGATATTGTACAAGCAAGTGATGTCGGACGGGGTTGTGCTTGCGTTCAGCCAGATCAATTCCTCTTGCTAAGCGGTCTCGGACGAGGAACGAAAACACTGCTACGAAAAGGTACGAGCACGAGAGAGTACCACGAGAGTAGTAGAGCAGAGTTCCGTGCCACAATTGATTGTCGATCATCTCGCACATCTGACAGGACCGATGCTGATGCAGTTGGTGTACCCTGTCAACGATATCGTATTGGATTCAACACGAAGGTGTTGACGAGGAGTACCAAGTGTGTCAATTTGCAGTGCACTGAAGCTTCTGCGCCAACCAAACAGCTATTCGGACGACGAATACCGTGTCAAACTGAGCTAACCCATCGTCACCTTTTCGGCTGTACGTGGGCGGCAGCGGCCGCCAAGACAGCGACAAAGGCGTTGCCCCTTTTAGCCGTCATGTCGGTGCTGTCTGAAGACACTGTCGCCCCATCTGGCCGTCTGACCGGTATCTTTGCCTTCGATGCAGCAATCGCGTACAGATTCACAGAGAACAATACCGTCCTCCTGGAACGAGTCAACATTTTATAGCAACTACGTTTGCTAACATTTGTTGAATATCTTCACGTTCGTGTCGATCTCTATCTCGTGCACGCGAAACAGCAGCAGCAGCAGTAAGTGCCAACAACTGCTGCACCGCACGCACACGCAACTTCAGTAGCTCTCTAGTACGTCTCGTTCATAAGCTGCAAAACGACACTGAGCTCTTCCCCAGTGAACTCGGGGGCTGCCGAATTCATCGGCAATGACACTGTACATCCGCCGTACTTGCCAGAAACAGCAGCAGCAGTCGTCATCGTCGGCGGCGAATTGCCCTGCGGCGGTGGTCGAAGCACGTGGTAACTGGAGAGCGGCAGTATCAAATGTTGTTGACTCGGGTGCGGTTCGTAGCTGCTGCTGCTGCTGTTGCTGCTGTCGTCACGCTTTTCGTCCATTCGAAGCGGTGCAAAGTGATTCGGACTCGACGCACTCGGCCGACCGAACGCCGTGTCCGAACCCGACGCGACCGCAAACGCCGCCGCTGTACTTCCATACTGCACTGCCGCTGGCGAGAACAACAGCGCAGAAGTGTTGTTCGATGGTATCCGATACGGCTGATCGGATCCGAACGGATGCGTCAAGTCGGCCTGTCGCTTTCGCGGCTCCTTGGGCAGCACTGTCGGGAGGCTGCTCAAGTGGGTGTCACTCGAGCCAAAGAACGCCGGCAGCCCCACCTGTTTGGTCCACACGGGCACAGCCAAATGGCTACTACTGCAACTGCTGCTGCTGCAACTGCTGCGACTGCAACTGCTGCGACTGCAACTGCTGCGACTGCTTTTCGCTTTGTCCACCAAACTACTGCAACTCGAGTCGGGCACACAGCTCCCACCTGCACCGATCGAGTTTCGATACTTTGCGTACAGCATGTGCTCATTCGCGCACTCGCGACTGCCGTCGGCCGCGTAAAAGCCAAACCCACTCGTGTCGGCGCTCAGTATGGGGCTCTCTACTGCCGACGCCGCTGCAAGTGGACGTCGCACCTGTTGCTGCATCTGTTGCTGCACCTGTTGCTGTTGTTGCAGGTGATACGTGTCGTGTTGGCGCCCCCCGTGCTGGATCTTCTGATGCTGCACATAGTCCTTGTAGTTGTCGCAGCTCCACTGGCAGTGGCCGTGTTGCCCCATGCAGTGGAACACGTGGGGGCCGTCTGGAAAGTGCACGCGCATGTGGCGCTTGAGCTTTGTGCTCGTGTTGAAGCGCTTGCCACAGGCGTCAAAGAGACACGGGTAGGGCCGCTCGCCGCTGTGGATGCGCTTGTGGCGGCTCAAGTTGCCCGACGTGTTGAAGCGCTGCAGGCAGCCGACGTAGTCGCACGCGTAGGGTTTCGTGCCCGTGTGGATGCGCATGTGGCGCCGGAGCGCAAACGCCCGGGGAAACCGTTTGCCGCAGTGCACTTCCGAACAGGTAAAGACTTTGAGGAGCGGCGGCGGCGGCGGCTGGTGCCGGAGCGACTCGCTGGACGTCGGACGGGGGACGGGCCGCGACGGCAGTGGGATGCGCGTCTCGGGGGGCGCCACGCGCGCGAGGGAACTGGCGCTCGCTGCGCGTAGAGGGGACGCGAGCGAATTGTGGACGTCGTCGTCGTCGTCGGACGGTGTGATGCGCATGGCGAAAGTTGCAGAGTGGGAAGAAGAAGAGGAGGAAGAAGAAGAGGAGGAGGAGGAGGAGGAGGAAGTGGGGCGGGCAGAGACGGGGGGCGGGGGAGAAGACGTCGAGGGCGAGGGCTCTGTCTTCAGCAGGTGCTGCTGCGCGGCTGCGCACATCCTGGTTTGGACTCCTGCTGGGTACAAGAGGAAGACAGAGTGCCCCTCGGACTCACGCACTCGCTCGTCTGTGTGTGTCTGTGTGTGGGTGTGAACGGAGTGGGCTCTTATGCGTGAAGAGCGTCTGCTACTGATGGAGATGCCGTGTCGCCGGTTGACTCCGAGCGAGAGCGCTCGCGACGTAAAGCTGACGGCATTGTAATGGCGTTGCGACAGGCCCAAAAGTGGCGTTGTCGAGCGTTCATCCGTGCGAAGACGTGCGCGATCTGACATGTTTCCCGTCGCTGCACTATCCCGAGAGGTTCCCTCAAGTTTCGATGGTCGGACACCTCGCGAGCCGATGGCAGCGCTCGTCTTTGACCGTTCGTCGCAGTTGCAGTGGGCGACTTGACGGTCCCGTCGCTCACTGTGCGACCAGTTGGTCGAACTACCCGTCCAGAGCTCTCCATATAGCTGCACCAGTCAACCGGTGCAGCTATTGCATCGCAGACGGGTGTTCGGAGCCATCTACCGCCATGCGCGTCAAAAAAGCGTCTGCTTGCAATCCTGCCCAGTCCCTCAGCTCGCACTTGGTACAGATGCTGACTGACCTCCCGTGAACGTCATTCGGGATCGCACATACGCCACGCTCTTCAACTTGCCTGGCAACGAAGCGGTGCCGTTGCATTAAGTTTTCGCTGCCATGCGACCACTCGGCTTCGTGTTGTCACGTGCTTTGTCCACCTTCTCCAACGTCCCGAGAGCAGTCGAAGGATACACACCACTGGCTCGTCCAGCGAAGGCTCGAGCTACTGCCTCCAAATCGCGTAAAAGCAGGCCAGCGGCCCGCCCCTGATTCGTCCGTGCATCAACGACCGCCGAGTCGGCGGTGCCCCGCGCAGCTGAGACTCGCGCCAGCTGCTTGTCCACGTGCTGTATCGTATCGACGCTTTTCTAATATATCATTTGAGCACATGTCGGCTGCACCAGAAGCTGCAGATTCCTCCTGTCTGTACCCAACGAGCTTTGAAAACCGTCCGAGACGTTGGCAGCGAAAGTTTTCTTGTTGACGTGCGACGGGCAGACTGAGCCTCAAGGGATTGTCACGAAGGTCGGAACGGAAGTGGAGTTCCTATCTGTACCATGAGCTGAACCACGACGACGATGGCCATCGGGTCGGTCTCTATTTTTTCTCAATTGCTTTGTAGTCGACTTGCGCATGTGGATGACGTTCTGTTGACGAAATCGATTTGAAAAAAGTGTAAATTGGTTGCGACTTTATCCACAGAGAGTGAGTGGGCCAAGTGAACCTCAGGCAGTGGCGGTCGAGAGAGCGCCAAACGCGTTCACGATAGTTGACCACCGCTGTCCCGCGAGAGTTGCAAGCGAACGGAATCGCTCGAGCGCTTCGATTGCATTCACTACGTAGCACATGAAAAAAGGCTTTAGAAGAGGGAATGCGTCCTTGGAATGCGAGTTTGTTAGATAGAGCTGAAGGAGTGGGGGCCAAAGATCCCGGACGATGAATAGAGCGTAGAAACCCCCACTCGTCAGCAGCTGTACACAGAACAGCAGGGTACATGTCGACGACAATGATCGATAACGCATCACCACGCGACACTAGCGAGACAATTCGAGTACGCCATCAAACCACTTTGTCGGTTGGTCATTGCACGACGCAAAGTCGGTTGACGTTTTGCAGTTGACAGTACGATAGAGCTGCGCCATGCACATTGTCGCAAACGTCTTTAGATCTGCATCTTTGTCCACGTGGACACAGCTGAGGAAGTAGCAGTCCACGATGGCAGTGCATCGGAAAACTCCGTCATCTCGGGAGTGATGAGCTCGAGATAGTGAGCTACAAAAACGACATCAATCGATCTGTTCGACTCGGCCTCGATCCAAAAGTGGTAATTGGACGGAACCGTGCCGCTACAGAACTGGAGAATGTATGCGTCTTCAGCTTCAGCTACTGGGCCGCTCATCCCGTTTCCCATGGACCTGTATGTGTAAGAATGCATACAAGGTCACCTATATCCTGATCTCGATACAACATCCCAGCTGTGAACGATGAAGGGTACGTACCAGGAAGTCAATTTCGATCGTTTCGCATCAATGAAGAGATTCATGTGCGACGGACCGCTAAATACAAAGTGGATTGTACGGCGATCTGTCGCGCGCACGTACGTCGACGACACGACTTCGAGCCTAATTGACAATACCATAAGCAACAATAAGTCTCAGCGTAGGCCAGCGATATGAAACTACTTACTTAGCGTCGGCGTCATTGGGGATTGCAGGTGCAGCAGCAAGCAGATACCACGACTTGTCTTCTGGAAGCATGTGCTTCACTGGAAGTGACCACGGCATGTGCCCGTACACTTCGGCGTGTTCATGCAGCTCTTGCGGAGCGACTTGCATGTGCGCATGGTTCCACTGCGTAGTGACCAAGCTGTCCTTGATAGGATCGAGCCCACGAAAGTCCAACGAGTTGATCCATAGACCAGAGTCCATTTGCACATCGCCGTTAGAAAGCATCACTTTGCGCTGAACGTGCTGAAGCATGAGACGCTTCGGACAGATATCCGAGTAAGGGTTACTGCAAATCAATCCAACGCCCCAAGCACGTCAGACCATTTGTTCGCAAGCGTGCTACAAGTAAGCAATGTGGGTGTACCGAATTGAAGCGTAAGCTGTAGATATCACGGTAATGATGATACACGAGTCCCGAAATAGTTTGAGCTGTTTTGCAGGAAAAAAGCAAAACACTCGGCCGGCATAGGACACCATGATCTACGCACGCGGCAGCATCCAGTAAGTGCAATGAGTACTCGATATTGCCGCAAGAACTAATCACAAGGAACTTACCAGAAGAATGGTGCACATTAGCAGCGATAGTATCACGTCGGGAGGCAGCACCGGACCGCTTCGCCCCAGCAACGGAATGAAAAACATGAGCGCGATCGCAAAGCAGCACATCGTGTGGATCACTGGGATGATAGTGGCACCTAGCGCGATGGAAATGTACAACCCCGACGACAACATGCGGAAGCGCTGTAGGAGCTGGCACAGTACCTGCCCCACGAGTGGAAAGAAGATCCACAGTGCCAAAACGTAGCTCGAGATAAACCCAAGTTGGAGGCAGATAGCCAGTATTCCCATCCAAACGCAAAGCGCTGCTTCAAAGAGACTCTCTTCAAGGCGCCACAGAGCTTTCGGAAGCACCACTTTGCCGACCTGCTTCTCCAACACCGTTGTCATCTGATGCAGCATTCCTGCAATAGCTGGCGAAAGATAGAGTGGCCCTGCTAGATATGGCTGAGAGTACCATGGCAGTGGCGCATAGAGACTGAGCAGCACACCAACCGTAAATGACGAGGCAATTGCAGCGCCGATGCATCGCATGGTTAGCACAATCGCGGTCCAGCGTTCGAAGAAGGAAACGCGAGATAGCAAGAGATAAAGCGCAGCGAGTACAAGCACGACGCCGCACGTGAAAAAGGTCGCTTCCTTGCTTGCAGTCACCATCGTCAATCCCATGATGTCCGAGAAGAAAGTGTTGGAGCTTTGCGGGTTGTCTCCGACCTTTTTCAGACGTCCAGGCTCGCTACCCAGTTGGTAGACCACACCCACAAGATTCTCTCCAAGACGCTGGATCGATCCCGGTTGAATTCGGGAAATGTCGTCTAGCATCGTGTGGTAAACATAGCCATTTGCAATGTACGCAAAGTCCATGCCGGCAACGTATCCAAAGTCACGGTAGACTCGGTAGTCCGTATCAGCAGGTATGTAACCTGATTGGAACAGCTCCTGTGCGATAATGCTTGCGTGCGGGTATTTGGCTCCTTGCGCATACGCCAGCGCCAGCTCATCACTGCCTGTCTGAAACAGCAGCTCACGCCCCCCAGCTCCTGCAGCTTCGAGGTTAATAAATGCTCGAATCGTCTCTGTCCACGGATGTTGCGTAATGAAACCATGGGCTGCCTGCATGATCGTTTCCTCGGCCCCGTTAAAGTTGAACACTAGCGTAGCGTGTCTCGGCGGGTTGAGCACAACCAGCCGCAGCAGTTCCATCATTATTGCGATGTTCACACCATCGTCCGAAGCTGCCGCGCCGCCAATTGCAGCATCATAGTGGGACGAAATCATGAGCGAGTTGTTCAGTGCGTCCAACGTTGCATTGGGTGGTGACACCTTCACCAGAATATTGGTCACATTGGCGTAAATGTTTTGAAACTGCGCGATAAAGTCCAGTCCAAAAGCACCTGATGGTCGTTGCACATCAACTTCGACACTTGCTCCTGGCAAAGTCGTCGTCTGGATGGCATGGATCTAGTGAATTGCATCATTGACGAGGAACACAAAAGAGCACGATCAGAAGATAAACGTTAGTTTCAAGATTACAGCGAACTTCTTTCAGTATGGAATTACAGTCAAAATGGTTTTTTGTTTGGTTAGTTTTTGAATAGTCTAAAGCAGGAAAACCCCTACTTGTTGCAACAGATACTGAGGGGTCAGTTCTTCGTTGGCTTTTGTACCGACAGGACGGTACCCAAACCTCATAATTTGCTCGAGCACAGTACGAGCTCGCGCCTCGGAAAATTCATAACGAGGCGCGTCCAGTCCTTTGGGTTCTGGCAGCCACGTGTGCCAGAACGTCACAATGGCGTAGGCCGACACGTAGAAGGCGCAGAAACCAACGACCACAGGCCATCCGCGAGGCAAAAATGAGCGGAAGCGACGATCGCGGCGCCGTGTTGTTGGCTTCGCGTCACTAGAGACTGACGAAGAGACTGCTACGGCTGACGCGGGTGGGCGCCGTTGACGCACTTGCACCATTATATTATGCAGCTTTGATATGGATTTTGTTAGTTGTGTGGAGAAAGAGTGGATTATTCGCTGCAGCAGGAAGTGATATGAAGGATATGAGATGCAGTGGTAATGATGAGAAGGATATGCGATCAGACAGGATATGTTGTGCTACAAGTATACGAGTGATCGCAAATGATTGCAACGTCAAGCGATTGCGTGGTCGGTTCGAAAGTAGAAAAAGGTATGCACTGGTGCAGAAGACGTCGAGGATTGTTCCGGTTGCTGTGTTTCGTTCGCGATGTGCGATCTTCAGGCCAAAGCTATGTGTATGACGGGATGAGCCTGTTTGTCGACAAAATGCTAACATTGGGCTGAATGTTAAGAGGAATATTATGCTGGTCATTAACATTGACGCAAATCATTACCACTGACAATAATATTCGGCAGCTGTTAACGATAGGCGGTGCATTAGCTAAATTAGGCAATGATATCAGCCAATGAAGTTGTGCTATGATAGACTGACGCGCGCAATGAGTGGTCGTGTGCAGGTCGTCGCTAACATATTAGCTTTTTAGGGCGAATCTTACAAACAATTCCATCAAAACTTCATGCATATTATTTCGAGGCGGTTTTATAAAGTATTAAACATCGTATGACATTGTGTTTACTTCTTATACAAGACAGTGTACGTGTATAAACGAGGCACGTGTCGACACTGCAACTAGCCAATGTATAAATCGCTGTCAGCAAGCAAGCGTAATGCGCCCCACTAGAAGCAAACGACACGGAACTCGTGTCGCTTTGTCAATTAAAAAATTGCTCGAAAAAAGGCATGTCATAAGTTATTAGAAATCGAAAAAATCATCGAAATTTGTATCTTTGGTTATTTGTGTAAACCTAATTAGTTTGATGCGTGTCGGCTTATCTACGTATTGACATGCCAAGGTTCGCAGGAGCTTTTGCTTTTATAATTGGTGCATCAATCAACATTGTAGCACATTCTTTGTTGACTCTGAACTAGAAGCATCAGCCGTCTCTACGTCAAGTTTGCCTGTATCAATAGTCTAAGAATTTACCAGGCTCGATACACAGTAACAAAGCCGTTTAAGTAGAAGCGTTGTCACGAAGCGCTGTGTCGACGCGCTGACAAACTACTATATCATAAAAATACGTAACCGAATGTTGCCTCTTTTCAAAAATCCTGGGGCATTTTTTTAGTTGATCATGTGGGAGCAATGATAATATTGCCTGGAGAACTAAAATGCTGTAGCGCACGCGTCATTTTTTTTCTCACTTCCAACAGAACATAGATAATACGACCAAAAAGCTCTATAACGTATAATTTGCGACAACTAGTGACAAAAATGCGCCACAAGATGTAGAAAAATAACGCGCCAACGTATAGAATATTTCAAAATGCACCAGCGGTGTACACTATATGTACATACACACATATGATTACCTATGAATTATCTATGAAGAAATGACTATTGTTGATTGTTATTTACAGATGCCGCCGACAAAATTGAAGCTTATTCGATAAAGCCGGATGTCGGATCGGCCGTCGATTCTCCGCTGATCATTGGCTTTTTATACATGGAACTGAATACCATACAACATCGTTCTCGCAGTATGCGCAATTAAGATAAACAGCGCTTTTATCATCTTTTTGTTTTTATCAAGAAGACTGATATTGTTAAGCATGTAACGTATTTTATGTCAGTATCTTGACACGTGTACGATCGTATATCGTACGCGTATTAAGATATTGCCAATTAATCAGTTCAAATCAATTAATCTCTTGCAATACAGATCTTTGGCCAATTGACACTTCGTATAGTATATAAAAAACTACGTCTGTAACGGGATACTGTTAGCTACTGTGGCAAAGCGGTCACAAGGTCAACCGTTGAGTTGGGCTTGGGAGCACACCGATCGCCAGCGTCCGTTAATTCCAAAACAACTTTTATTGGAGAATACGAGCCGGGGCGGGTGGCTCAAGATCATGTACCCAAATTCAACAGATCGCGACTTCTTTGGTGTGAGAACGAGAAATGTGGTTTACACCAGGATGATTTCGTAATTAATGATGGATCCCAACACGAGATCGTGATCCCAACATGAGATGTCGAGCCTGGAGCCAGCTGCGCACAAATCGGATGTGGACCACGCCAAGGTGAAAGAGAGAGCGTACTTGGTGTGAAGCACATAGGTACAAGAAGACGATCTTCTGGATTAAAGACGAGTGGCCATAGATAAGTGATATATTCCTGGATTGTTTGGTCAGGGATCGATAAGTCTCAAAGCAACCCTTACTGCAATTGGACGCAGCAAGCAAGCAAAGGCGAAGAGTGCAAGATTGCGAGACAGCTCAAGTGTTCAGAAGACTCGCGAATCTAGTATCTACTTGGACAAGGCGATCTGGACCAGACCACGACAGCTCATATAGAGACAGATCCAAAATATACGCAATCGTGTGCAGGTTTCCACGCAAAAGATCCAATCCCGACCACGGTCAATTTCGGCATTGACTCGAGTTCTTTTTGAAGAGTGCAACATGCCCCACCGACGGGTACACATGATGTGCGAAATGTACAGCACAAAATCGGAGTACCCAGTCCGGTTGGCGTCCGTCCGGGAACCATTGGATAGTTAAGAAATACTCCTGAAACGCGCTTTCACCACTCCACCACACTACGCACTGACAACAGTGCGTAGCAAGCTCTCACTGACTACAGTGAGAGCTAGTGCGCTATTAATTGCGTACAATATACGCGTCCAGAGGAAATTTATTATTTAAGCTACTAAGCTTAGTAAGAGAAAAGAATAACTGTGAAAAAACAATAAAGTTCTAAAGATGTCTTGGTCTATAGTCCTAACGTAATATCATGAACATTAGATCATGTATAATGACGTCTACTCACCATTCATTGCGAGCGTCTAGCAGCGATTCGTGGGTTGGTATATAAGTATATCAACCAATGAGTAGACCCTTGAGTCACTGCAATAATATCACTGAGCTTAGTGATGTTGTACTGGAGATATTGGACTAAACATTCTTTATTATCGTACTGTCAAAAACGCCAATTTACATAACAAGATCACCTCGTTGCCATTGCATTATAGTTCTATCATGGCTTGTAATATTTTCGTCATAGTTTTGCGATAGACTATGAGAGCTAGTGGTACACATTTAGCAACTGCGTTGCTGATAGGTGCTACGTGGAAAAAATGATAGAATTTACGTTTTTGTTGAGTCTGACAGAGAGTGCAACCTTCCTTTTTGTGTTATGGAGAGCAAATAATAGCATTACAAAGCAGTGTGCATACATCTTGAACGCTTTACTACCTGTCAAAAAAATTAATTGAGCGGAACTAATATTTAGTCGACACCCGGGATCAGATAATGGGATAGTGTATTTGGTAACGTAGGTACAAAGTGTCGAATAGTTGCATTTGGGCAAAACGTTGTAGGTTCGGGCATCGAATATAGTTGTAGCGTAGACTTTAATAAAGCAATCCGCTTTTCGAACAAAGGTACTCATCAATTACTATGCATGTTGCCCTCATAGTTAACAACACTAAGCCATCCTACTCAGGCTGCCTTATCTCTACATTTCGTTCTGCGATGCCTCATTTGTCTTGCTGCTGGAGCTATTAATGTTCATTTCCGTCATGTTGGTGGTCTCAGTTATCAACTTAATAGCCATCATATACATAAGCGTTTGCGATAGCACCAAACATTTATGTGTGTTCTTTATTATTACACCGGATCTTATTGCTTATTCATGCGCCATCTCAATATGCCTTGAGTCGTATATTTTAAATTAAGATGAGAAATGTATACGCGCCATTTTGATACAATGCTGTCTTAACATATTTTCCATATTACATTACCACCAGTTTGACATTTACATTTGATGCATTAGCACTTATTTAAGCCAAAGAATGATTTCGATGCAACGTAGACAATGCATTAAACGAGATCGATTTGCTCATTATGCTCAGAAGCGTAAACACACTTTCTTCTATTTGCAATTCAAGAAATGACAGAAAACTAAACACGTTGTCGATATCATTTAGTGTAAGAGGCTTATAAATAGGGAATGTGAAATGCACGCCTTAAAGTTGTTTGATGTACGCCTTGTATGATGTTCGCCTTTTTTGGCTGACACTACCGACCACGGGCTCTTAGTAGACTGGACAGTCAAAAATACTTTACTGAACGATGGGTTCAGTGAACGCCTAATTCTATCTGACGTGACCGAATGCCTCGGTAGATTACTTCTTGGAGTTATAAAGACAGAGCAAATTGATAAGTAATCTTACGTAAAACGAAGCACATATTGACTCCTCCAGAACAAACCTACGACACCCACGAGAATCTTTGTGTCTCCGTGGATTCTTTTACTCGCACTCAAGGGAATCAACTTGCAGTCGAAAGATCTAGTGGTGGCTTTGATCATTAATTTAAGTGCGATCGTGGCGGGATAACACGTCGGGTTTCAGAAGACCATCGCGAGCGCGAAGGTGCTACAAATATCTGCGAATTTAAGTTCCAGCTCTATTCCCGGGTCAAAAACGATGGCCTTTGGCACTTAACAGTCGAGAAGGAATATCATAATCATACACCCACTCTTGATATAGCTGGCCATGCATCTGCACGACGCCATTAACAAGAAACAGAAGCTCATGGTGAGGGTCAATATCAAGGCGGGTGTACCCCCGAGCGAGACTTTGGTCGCTTTGAGGCTAGAGGACCCAGTCACAATAGCAAACGGAAGGACTATATACAGCAAACGAGTTCGCATCCAAAAAGCGATATCAAAATGAAAGGGACCGATGGAGGCACTAGTGGATGATTTATGCTTAAAACAATACCGGGATCAGTACGAGTGTGAGCGTGAAAGGCAAATTACCACCTGTCTTTTGCTCATTCAATTGCGATCGATCATCTACTCTGATAATCGCATGCGCTGCTGATGGATTGTACTTACAGAACAAAAAGAATTGGCATGTTAATTATG